GTTAGCTTTGCTGCTCCTCTGATGCTGCCTGGCCTGCTGTGTTCATCCAGCTCCACACCTTGTTATCTCAGACTCCAGCATCGGCAGTTTCTACTATCTCTCAGTACTGGCATGGGCTGGTTAGAACAAAGGGTATGTTTCAATGCTGTATGACTCCATAATTGTTTGCATGTTGATACCAGGCTCTCCCCTGAGCTTCGCTCTCTTGTTTTTACTTTTTGTAAAGAGAGAGGTAGAGAGATAGAAAGGTACGGAAAGGTAGATGGTTAGAAAAAGAGTCACTGGATTCAAATCGTTTACTTTGTCTCTCTCTCTCTCCACTGATGCTGCCAGACCCGCTGAGTTTCTCCAGCAATTTTTATTTAGAGAGACAGAGAGGCTGTTTCCACTTGTAAAAGGTATAACAACATGAGGCGTATATTTGAAGTGAGGTTCAAGCGAAGCAAGGCTGATGTGAGAGAGAAAAAAGATTCCTTTTGTACAGCAAGCAGTTAGGGTCTGGAATGCTTTATCTGGGAATGTGGTGGAGGCAGGTTCAATTGAGGCGTTCAGGAGGGACATTGGATGGTTATTTGGACAGAAATCGCGAGGAAGGGTATGGAGAAAAAGCAGGAGACTGGTACTAGGTAACGACACTCATTTGAACACCAGGGTAGGCATGATGGGCCGAATGGCATTTTTGAGTGCCAGAACGATTCTGTGATAATCACCTCCATTCCCCTGGGGACCCATACCGCCAGGAAACGGAGTGTGAAAGTTCAATTACCTGAAGTCCAACAGGACCAGCAGAGCCTGGCAGTCCACGGATTCCATCGTCACCTTTCTGCCCACGCATTCCCAGATAGCCTCTCAGGCCTGGACTACCGTCAGAACCCTACGTGCACAAAGAACACAGAGCTGATGAATAGGCTGACTCGGCCAGCTCGGAGGAAGCATTGTGGGAATAAATCGAGACACCATAATGCTTCCTTCTTGTGTTATGCCTTGCATCACACTCTCAACACAAATGCTAGATCTTCCTTCAAAACGTTTTCCTCAAATTACAGCAGCTAGGTTGCTCCAATGGGCCGAAGGCAGTACAGTATGGAGTGACATAGTATTCTGGGTGTACATCTGTATACATGCATAGCATCGTATGTTTCTAAGCCTTTGGAAACCACATAACAATACAACATCTCTGGCTAAACTTCGGGTATATTACGACTTTGAAACTGATGGAGACAGAGTGAGGTAGGGAAAATTAAAGACACTGGTTCACAAAATGACTTGGACATTTAAATCTGATGGATTAGATTCAACAGAACATGACATAGCAAATCGAAAAACAGATGCTGGTATTCTGCCAATTGCACTGTTCCTCGTTGTACAGCTAAGACAGGGCAACACATCCATCCCCAACTGCTCTTCCCCCTTGCCCCTTCCCCTCAGAAACAGGCCGTCTCCAACCACCCCCCCACCTCACACCGCCAACTGCTCTTCCGCTCCTCAAAAATTGACACAACAGCCTCACTCCAGCTGCTCCCTCAGCTGACACAAGGAGGAATTTACCAGGATGTTGTCGGGAACGGAGGGCTTGAGTTATAAAAATAGGCTGGATACGTTGGGACTTCTTCCATGGGGGTGTAGGAGGTTTAGGGATGAGGTGACCTTATTGAGGTTTATAAAATCATGAAGAGTGTAGATAGGGTGAATGGCAGGTGTCTTTTTCCCGAGGGTGGGGGATTTCAAGACTAGGGGGCACATTTTTAAACACGAGAGGAGAAAGGTTTAAAAAGGCCATGAGGAGCGACTTCTTTTGCACAGAGAGCGGTTCATGTGTGGAATGAACTTCCAGAGGAAGTGGTGGATGCGGGTACAGTTACAAAAAAAAATTTTGGATAAATACATGAATAAGAAAGGTTTGGGCCAAGTGCAGGCAGACAGGACTACTTTAGTTCGGGATTATGGTCAACATGGACTGGTTGGATCGAAGGGTCTGTTTCCGTACCACATGACTCTAAGACTCTCTCTGACTCAAATTGTACAGTGATGATCAGCCAAACATCAGAGAAGGGACAGAAAAATCCATCAAAACCAATACTTACAATGGGACCAGGGTGTCCAATCGGACCTTGTATTCCTATGGGCCCTGGGGGACCCTGGAAGAGAAGACAACAAATGTTAATATTTGTGCACTAACATTAGATTGGAATTGATTCTATCTGAACTCTCAGATCATTAGAGTGGAGCTGGTTTGAGCTCAACGCACAGAATGGACCCAGTGTAGGAAATACATGCTTTTTTTTTCCCTGTGGAGAACTGTTTCAGGATTTACTCCAGCACTGAGTTAAAACTGGATGATCTTTGCAACAAGAGAGGTGACAATACAGGAAGTCCCAAACTGCACATTTCCAATTGGTGGAAGATCCATTCGTTTGATAATGGATCTTCCATCAATGATCTGTTGTTTTTGGTCATTATTTCTTACAATAACATGTCCACATAAAGTATCTTTCCATTTATATACATACACCAGTCGACACAGGCAAGTTCTGTCAATAGACTACAAGCAGGAATGGAAATGATCAGCTCATCTGGTTTCAGTGAGGGGTACTGATACCTGCTCTGCTTCAAAAAGTCCCATAGCATTATGAACACGAAGCTCAACCACAGGGATCAGAGCCATGGTACCTCCTGCAGCACCAGACTGTACCCAATCATTAATCCAGTGTGAGACACCCTCCCATGGGCAACAGAGCTGGATGGGACCATCACTCACCGATTCCCCTTTGTCTCCTTTGCTGCCTTTTTGTCCTGGCTTTCCCAGCTCCCCCTGTAAAAAGGAAACATTGAAAGAATATTATAGCAAAGAAGCCATGCTAAGCAAACAATTGGGACACTTTCTAACCATTGAGGGCTAGGCCCGAAACGTCAGCCTTCCTGCTCCTCTGATGCTGCTTGGCCTGCTGTGTTCATCCAGCTCTGCATCTCGTTATCTAGGGCTGAATGCTAGTCTGGTTACAGTGAGATGACTCTCTGGACCAGGAGTCCCAGTTTGGTGTGGAAATAGCCGATAAAGGGATGGTCGGTGGTTTTTGCTCTATTGTAGGGAGAGGTCAGAACACTCAGCAGGACCCAGAGGTGACCAGGCAGTGTGCACCTTGAAAGGATCCTACAAAATCACAACCCCCAGACTCTCCATACGCACTCACACCCACACACTCCATACACACTCACTCACTCACTCAC